GGATAGCACCCGCATTTGAATAATTTATGCCAGGAGAGAAATTCACTGCGTTTCTTCATAAGAAGTTTGAAGAGGCTCTGAGGAAAATGTTGACCAAGTTACGCGTGGCGTTGAATGACTTGCTGAGATACATGTGCAAAACTTTGCCATTATTCAGAGTGATATTTCTCGAGAGCTTTATTAAGATTGAAACTATTTTCTTTAATTTTCTGTCACGCCCCATTATATCCTGAAAGGGTAAAAATGATGAGGTACGTTTGCGTAAATATTTGCCCATTATTTTCCGATTCTCCCATATATTATGTCTTTGCTGTTCCTTTTTTTTTTTAATTCAGCACGCCATGCATGTACAGTATAAGAAGCTTCGAAAATCTTTTAGTGTTACTTCATCTGTTTTACAATGCAGACGATAATGGGATAATCAAAAAAAATGAAACGAAACCTCTGACTTTTATTACAAAATCGCCTCGTCATTTCACCCCGCCAAGCACTTATTATAAAAAAAACTGTATTAAGGCGTTTTTTACTTTAGCTTCTTAGAGGACTTAGAAGCTATGTAATTTTTAAATCTTAAAATGTATCTAGAATTATTTTTCGTGTGAGAAGCTAACATTTCTGGTGATAAATGAGCGGAAATCTGCTGGTAATTCCAACGCTCTTTATCCTGCTAAATTCATCATTCTATTTGAATCATCAATTGCAAGAATGAACAGTAAGAAGAAAAAAAAAGGGTTCTTAAAACAGACGAATAGCATATTTTATTTATTTTAATTTCATTGCAAACAAGCAGGGAAATGCACATTATATTCTTCAATCGTTTAGTGGCCGTTGTGTGAAGATTGATTTTGTCTTGCTTCTGTATATTGCTCGCTGATTTTTTTTTTCTCAATGAGTTTTTCCCATCTTCCAATTTTTGCAATGGTGTGTAACTTTTTCAGTCTGGCTCGGATGGTCGACACCCTGGTGAAGGCCAGGAAGCTGACCAAGAGCCCCGTTACGGAACGCGAATCTTGTACCAGCAGCACCAGCCGACGCATGCCTCCATTAATTTGCATGCGACTTCTCATGGAGCTTCTCTATTTTCATCCGTGAGTTTCTGCACACTTTTTTTAGCTGATTTTTTTTTCAATACTGCGACGGTAATTCCAAAATTTCCGCGGTCTATGTCGAAAAGCTCTCATCGCTGACAGCAACACTTTTTTTTATTATTCCTCCTTAAAGGTTCTACAGACTTTTTCGACGCTATATAAACAGTATAAATTTCAAATTCCCAAGCTCAAAACCGAGTTCCGCAAAATAGCATCACATAAATACAAATCTGAATTTTTTCCAATCGGATGATGAGAACTGGTTGTGATTTTCCGTACTTTTTCTTTTTTCTCAGTTGTTGAAAAAGAAAACGGTGAAAACGGCAGCTATAAATATGTGAAAACGGACGTATTTCAAAAACATATTTTACCTAGTGAGAATATATGCACGGTGTTCGAAAATGAATGTTCTGACGAAAAGTGTAAATCTTATGAAACAGACCTGCAATGAGAATGTTCCATCAGCAACAACTCAGTCAGTTTTCGACGAAGACCTTCGTGATTCAGGAAATTTTTGACTTTATTAGATGGAAAAACGTTTCACTTGCTTCAACTAAATGCTTCAATTTTTCTGGACTCGATTCGGGAGCATATACGGAAAATTTTCCCCTCGATTATTTAAAACCTCGAAAAGATAATCGAAATCTTGCGGGAAGATTTTCCTCGTGAAATACGACCGAAAGCGTCCAGTATTTCATCCTTGAAATAAGACGGCGGAATTCCGGAAAACGGGGAACCAGAAAGGAGTGTGATTTATATGCCCGTTAGAAATCTAATAATTGGGATTATAAATGGAAGAGAAAATCCGAGTGGTCCAGACTCTTATCACGACACATTGCATGTCAGTGTGTCATCAATTGTGGCGCAAAACGTGCGCTTGCTGCTAGAAGGCCGAGAACGAACAAGGAAGATGGCACAATACTAGGGACGCTTTAAAGACGCAACAAAGGCAAAACGTGCAGTGCCAAAAGGAAAATACTGTCGCATCACTGGGGGTTATGCTGATTGTTGAGTGGAAACTATTTACGGGTTTTGCGAGCACGGTATACGTACTAGGCTTCAGCGTTTGCAAAATTGTGTTTGTTATCGTGCCATATTTTAGGGATTGTTGTTAAGCAGGTTAATGGAAGACAATATACGATTTTTTGGGTTTCAATTCAATTCAACAGGAATTGGAACCAGTTGATGAGCATTAGAAAAAAGTACGGGTGTTTTTTAAATGCCTTGCGGGTACATCAAAAGAAGCATTTTTTATACTCGAAAAATGTTTCCCAACGACAGACCAATAGATTCTGCCAAAATTCCGTAATGAATTAAAAATGTTTGGTTCTAAAAACATTTTATATCTCTTGGGCACATTTTCATGTACAAAGAGTCAAAATAAGGCAGGTCTATATAGACCTCAAATCATTTTCCAAAATAGGCCAGAAAATTTGTGTTGTTATTTGTACGCTTTTTGTCATCAAATTTGTGTAGTTTAGCAATGTGTGTTTTGACTGTGCGATTTTTTTTGCTCATTGGACACAATTTAATCCAAAAAGACGATTCTTTGTGGTTTATTTTTCACAATTTTTTATTTCTTCGTTTTAAACAACATATCCCAATTGGATTTGATTTTCAGTATAAATGTTTCTAATTTTTTTCCGAACCTGAGATTTTTCATCAAAGTGTACCGGAAATTGTGCTTCACCAACTAGGATATTTCCGAAAAACGGACTCATCCTGAAAAGTATTTACGGTAAAGCCGTATCACAGGGTCCCAGTGTATTTCTCATGAATGAAATTGTAAGACCACAATCTAACACGATTCCGAAAATCAGAAAAATTGCGAGACCAGCCCAATAACTCGTGGAATCACCCTTCCCTTTCTTCATACTGTATTTACTTGAATAAAACAGGAACTCCGAATTTTCGGGGTGTGCGTGTTTCTTTAAAAACTGCAATATTTCAGAAATGATAGGTACCAGAACTCAAATTTGGACATGTATTTAATCCGAATTGGATTAATTTTCAATTGTTTCGATTTTTAAAAGTTCTTAGAAGCCGAAGTTTTCATTATATTCAAGTGTGACACGCACGTATAAATACACTTTTAAAATTCTTCTTTTAAGTTAGAGGCGGGCACCTCTAAAAAAAAAATTTCCACCGCGAGCAAAGTGAGCCCTATAAATATGCAGTTATTCCAGCTTTCTTTCTTCTTTTTAAACGGAATTTATTAACATAAGATAAAATTGTTTATTCTCCATATAGCCGAATCATCTGAACAACCCGCCTTCGAGCAACCGAAGCCAGGACTCGGGGATCCCAGAAGAAGGCACGGACTCGGGCAACTCGTCCCTGTCGCCTCCAGTCGGGCTCCTGAAGCCCTGTCCGATAACGAGTGCAGCCAGCGAAGCGGGGTCCAGTGGGATCCACAGCGACGGATCCTCGTCGACCGGCGGGGATCATCAGCAGCACATTTACTCGAAACGGGCAGTCAGCATAGAGCATTTGATCGCTGCTCAGCCGGGATCCCCGGCTGCTGCTGCTGGAAACGCCGGGGGCAATCAGCAGCTCCAGCAACCCTGGAACAAGGGTTCGCTGCAGAGGCCCGGTACTGACGGGAATCATCAACTCCACGATGCCTCGTCCAATGGTCAGCGAATGAGTTCTTCGACGTAGTCGTCTTCCATGCTTCTACTATATGATTCTGTCTCCCGACTCTTATTTTTCTCCGCGTTTTTTTATTTTTATTTATTTTATTTACTTGTATGGCGGTGGATAATGCTGTCTTAGTTGATGAATTTCATCCTCGAAAAAGGAGGAAGAAGTACATTATTGTCCAGAATTTATATTTAAAAAAAACGAGTAATAATGTTGAAGCTGTAGAAAATGGCCGATAATTTCAAAACCCACTCTTTCCAGAAAAAATATCAGTTTTTTATTTTTATTTTACTGTATTTTATTTTATTTGTTTTTATTTTATTTACGTGTATGGAGGTGGATAAGGTTGTCTTAGTTGATAAATTTCAATCTCGAAAAAGGAGGAAGAAGTACATTATTGTCCAGAATTTGTATAAAAAACGAGTAATAATGTTAAAGCTGTAGAAAATGGCCGATAATTTCAAAACCCACTCTTTCCAGAAAAAAATATCCCTTGAACGGGTTTCATCAGACGCTGAATTAAACAGCGAAAGATTCCTAAGAAATTTATTTGATAAATTCTCGACTCAATTACTGAATGAATTTATATTTAGCATGAAATGTTAGAAATACGAACGATCAAGTGCGTCAGATAATCTTTTATCTCTAACCCTGGCGGCCACATTTCCATAATTCATGAGTGGAAAAAAAGGACGGAACAAATGTAATACTGTACTGCATACAATTTTCAATTAAAGTTTATCATTGGTATGTTTCGTTCAATTAGTTCTGAATGATTTTCTGAAAATATTTGCAAATTCCTAATCTTCTCACGTCAAGTGCATCATTTTTGCGCTGGCAAATTTTTCACCACAAGCTGTTCCGTGCTGTAAGATGATCCGATTATTCTAGAAATTTCACTAAAATATCTATATATAGTTTCCTCCATTCCATTCTTTTGATTGGCTTTCCATTCTACTGATCGTATTGCCATCGATCGATAAAAAAAAGCTTACTCCTTCTCCCTTCGCATGCGAGATTTCAAATCGACAGTTCGCAATGATTAACACCATTGCGCTCGAGCAAAAATTCAATAACCCCAACCTTCGTCAAGATTATACGAAATCATCAAATTTTAAATAGGGTTGGAATTTTTGAAAAAATGCATCAATTTTAAAGTTGAGAAAGGAGGAAATATGGTTGAGAATGTGCAAACGTCTGGATTTGTGGAATGCACAATTTTTTAAATATCCGTATTTGTGCTGTATACCAATGAGTGAGGAACATGTTGAAAAAGTTTGTCTAAAAGAATTCGTGAAATTGAAAATCAAATGAATGAAAAATTGTGCTGCTGCTGTGCATTGAACTGCAGTAATCCCCTTTCAATGGACGCTCTTCGATAATTAAAAGAGAAAAAAAAACAATTATTTCTTAATGATAATNCCCCCTTTCAATGGACGCCCTTCGATAATTAAAAGAGAGAAAAAAACAATTATTCCTTAATGATAATAGCATTGAAAAACCACGTTGAAACGCCACCCGCCAAAATTGTTGACACCTCAAGGATTCTTCTGCCAATTAATTTTGTCTTCAATAATAGCCCGCCAACAAGACTTCTGTTTCTGCGAGAGAAGTATCCAGTTGAGAGAAAAAAATTAAACACAAAAATGACATTATTTACTTCTTGGGAACATCAGCTAAATATAATATGCGCATGTCGGGGTTATTTAGGTTATTTTGTAAAGGAATAAGAATGCCATTTCCTATTATACTTGATTTTAATTCTATTTTAGCTTTTTTTATACAATTTTATGTATAAAATATATAAAATTTTGTATCGACGTTTGACTGTGTGTTCGAGCTTCATTCGGACTCCCCTTTCAATAATCTAATTATATATGTGATTTTTTTGCGGCATTTTTCTTTTAAATTCAAACTTCTTATCAATTCCGGACGTGTATATAGACAAATTTGATTGACGTTGAATTCGGTCATATACGGTGTTTGAATTTTTTTTTTTTTTTTACGCAGGCAATCACGGACTGCGAGAAGCAGTGTACTTGTCGCACCAGGAAACCATCGCCATCCGTCGCACCCAGCCCTCGGGCAGTTCGCCGCCAGCGCAATACCGCGACGACGAAAACCCCTACATGAGAGCCACCAACATCCGCCTCACTTCCTTCGCCGAAACCGACCAACAACAACAACAACATCAATCGCACAACAAGCAGTCCCACATCTCCCTGGAAATGCCTCGTCACTCCCTGGCCGACTCTTCGGACGCCACGCATTCCCCGACCCCGTCGCCGCCGCTTCCGCCGCCACCGCCGCCTCTGCTCAGCCAGGACTTGCCCGAGGCCATGGCAGCGTACAGACAGGCCAGTACCCAGGCCCTGCAACACCAACAGCAAATGAGAGCCGCCGGCGTCGAGTCGCCTTACGGGCATTTGCGCGGTGGCGCCGACGGCGGCAGTGGCGCTGGTGGCACCCAGCACTCGCCCACGTACGTCTCGCGCGCCACCATTTACCCGCCCATGGTGCCCAGTGGCGCAGGCAGTGCTTCGGCGACTATCCACGCGGAATTGCTGGCTGGTACCCGGCCTGGTGACCTGCTCGAGTCGCCTTACGTGTCCCGACAGCAACAACAACAACAGCAACAGAGACAAGGCGGGAAGTCTGTCACTTACAATTTCCCGGCGAAAGAAATCACTTACGAGTCGGTTTATGGACGCCAGCAGCCGCAGCAGCAGCAGCAGCAACAGAGTCAGGTGCCAGTGGTGCCGAATGTGAGGCAAGTGCGACCAACTGGTGCTGCGCCGAATGTCTCTTATTCCGGGGCTGGTTACATGGGACAGAACTTCAATGGACCTTTGAGACCCGCGCTGAAGAACCACCAGCAAGTTCGGTTTCAGCAGTGATGATCTTTTCTCCTTAGTTTTTGTCGTTTTTTATTAGATTATTGAAAGCTTCATTCGGGAGTCCGAATGAAGCTCGAACACACAGTCAACGTCGATAAAAGCCGCCACCATTGTCTGTGAGGTTATTTGTGGCGGTTCAACAGAGGGTAGTTGGTTTAACAAAAAAGCTAAAATAGAATTAAAATCAAGTATAATAGGAAATGGCATTCTTATTCCTTTACAAAATAACCTAAATAACCTCAACATGCGCATATTATATTTAGCTGATGTTCCCAAGAAGTAAATAATGTCATTTTCGTGTTCAATTTTTTTCTCTCAACTGGATACTTCTCTCGCAGAAACAGAAGTCTTGTTGGCGGGCTATTATTGAAGACAAAATTAATTGGCAGGAGAATCCTTGAGGTGTCAACAATTTTGGCGGGTGGCGTTTCAACGTGGTTTTTCAATGCTATTATCATTAAGAAATAATTGTTTTTTTTTCTCTTTTAATTATCGAAGAGCGTCCATTGAAAGGGGAATTTTTTTTTTTTTTTTTTTTTTCCCCCCCCCCCCCCCCCCCCACTGATGAAGAAGAATTTGAAGGAAAAAAAATTGGTACTCGGGATTTTTTAATTAAATGTCTATTGAAATTTGAACCACTTTTGCACTAATTTCAGATGACGAACGTCACTGGTTCCAAATAGTACAACTAAACATAAACCGGGTAGAACTAAAGTCTTGGCGATTTTTTCCTCAAAAAGTTGAGTTGTCGAATATGTGGGGAAATGATCTTCACGGGGATGAAAAATGACTTTGTTCCCTTCATTTTAGCACGATTTAAAAAAAAATAAAAAGAAAGCATTTAAAGAAAAGAGGAATCTGTTTGTGAGCATTTTTTGCAAACCACGCCGTGTGAGCTGGCTCGTTATTGTGTCGAAAAATGTTACTGAAAGATATTAAATTGTCACTTTAAAATTTCCCACAAATATTCGGTTGGCAAAATCTTGGAATACATTGAAGAAAGTGATGGTTTCCACTTCATTTATACGCATTTATGTCATTTAAAGATATTATTGAAAAGCTTTTGCGGATGGGGTTTAAGATAGCTCATGAAAATTTTTAAATTCGATTGATAATATCAAAAATGGGGAATAAAGACAGAACCATTCCCCGAAGCATCATTTATTTTCTTCCTCAAGTTTGGGACAAAATGGAAATATTTCATTACTATATGTACCGACTTCGCAGGTGGGAATATCAACCGAGAAGTGTTCATTTTTTTAAGAATGCTGTTGTGAATATCGCCTCGTCGCCAATTCGAATTGTTGTTTTTTCAGGCATTTTCAGCAACCTTCCTTTAACCATGTGGTTCATTGTAAAAAAAATTAAAAAAAAGACTGGGTTGTTCTAAAAAAAAAACATCGGAACTCGAGAACAGCCTTATTTGAAAGTGTTGAATTGGCAACGATGCGATTGTTTTTTTTTTTAATGGGAAGTATGTAAATACTCGAAAATTTGACAAGAGCTTTTGAGTGGAATGTTTTCCTTTTTAAGGTTTTTCTTGCTTTTGATGGATAGTTTGCTTTTTGGCTTTTTACGATCGTGGGAGAATTTTTATATGAAGTGTATTTCAAATTCGAGACGGATCAACCCTATTTGGGGTACTTTTTTCTTCTTCGAGGAACAGGTCAGGGTTTTGGCAAGGTATTCAGCGGAACCGCGTTGAATCAAACGGGGTGACATTAATGGGAAGCAACAATTTTTTGTCTAACGTGTATGTTTATGAGCAATGTTGGCTCGACGGAACTTTTGAGCGTTTTTGCTGTTGAAAAAATCAACTTTTTCTCGTCATCAAAAAGATGTGCTGACAGAATCTTTTTTTTTTTTCTGGAAGACGGTATTTACGAAAATACGCGGATTATTCCAGATGATCTCGGTATTGTTAGTTGTGGTAAAATGTGTTTTGCTTCTTATTTTACTGACTAATATTTTTTTTATGTGGCTGAATTTTTAATTTTCTGACGGTGAGATGATTCACGGAATAGCTGAGCCCAACGTTTAAATATTAATTGGACCACATCGTTGATTTTTTTTTGGCGTTCGGTTTTTTTTTCATTGGCAGGAATGCTTTATTTATTTCGTGAATGAAATTCTCGCGAAAAAAAGAATAAGTAGCTCTTCTATGTTAGAGATATAAATCGCTCCGACGCCTCTTTGTATCAATTTCCAAGGAAAGAGTTGTTCCCCTTCTTTATGCAACGCGAAGAACGAGCTTTCTGATGCAGAACGGAACGTTTTTCATCGCCTTTCAGACTCTATTTTTATCCGAATTCGAAATTCGAATGGCTAAAGCTTTATGCGTTCTTCCGAATTTCGAAGGAGATGCGTGCTTCTCACTGGCGAATTTGAATAAGGAAGAAAAGCGATTGAGTCTCGAGTGCACTTATTCGTTAGAATACACCGGGAGAGTATACAAAAAATGCGAGCGAGATAAATGTACTAAGTATTATTTCCAAAAATTCTCACGTTTTTTAAATATGAACCTACGTTTACAAGCTTTAAAAAAAATAAACTGGAGGGTTATAGTTTGTTTAATAAAGATTTAAGTCTCCGATCGAGTCGTTGATTCTCTGGTCATGAGATTTCAATCAGCCTGGAATTTTAGATTTTTATTCAACAGATGAATAAAAGGAGATACCCTTGTTCATTGGCATAAAATTGAAGATTATCAACTGTTTTCAACGGGATAGGTTCTTTTTTTTTTGTTAACTCATCGCGTAGGCAATAAATTTTTTGTTGGGACGACAGAAACGATTTTTTTTCACGTGATTCCTTCACGATACTGTAATCGCGACAAAAGTCTGTTTTTTTATTGGAAGAAACCGGATGCGGATGAAAATGTTTGCTATTTTGATTTGTTTTTGTTCCTTCTCATTCTTTCGTGAAAATGCATTCATCGGTTGCTTGCCGAGAGAGGAAGAGAGAGATAGCAAGCAAATGAAGGCGGGAAGTCAGCTGTGGGCTAATAAATTGAGATGTTGCGCAAATCGTGTTTTATATTTCCAGTTTATTTTCAAAACAGACGACGGTCTTCTGCGACGAACTGATGAACTTCTGCATGACAAGACTTGTTTTCCGTCTCCAGAGACTTCTTCCGGACTGTGATGATGATGATGATGATGATGACGATGCTGGTGATACGAATGATGCCATCCCATGTGGCGAGGAATTTTCTGATATTTTCCAGTGAAATATTGAGAACAGAGAAAAATTTGATGGATTCCAAGCAGGGAAATGCTAAGAATATGAAATTCGTATGTTTTTGAAAATCAAAACCGGATTTCGTCTCATCATGAACTAATCACAGTCTGTTGGATTCCTTGGCATCTGGAACAAATCCACCGAGAGTTGATTTAAAAATATTAATTCAATGCTAATCCTACTCCCAAAAAATTGATAATATGCAATACATTTATGTAGACTCAAAATCTTCCACATCCACGAACACAATATGTTTAAAATCTATATGATCATGCGAAAATGACATTTTTCTCAAGTAAATGTGGAGAAAATGAAAATAAGGATGTATACTCTGGAATTTCACAAACAATTAATAAATAATTGTTCGTTCTGTATTTCAAGTTAGACTATGGTTATTGAAGAATCCCTCTTGTATTTTCCATGAAAACAGAGTTTTCACGTCAAATTCATGTTTTCCAGATGACTTCAGAACGCTTTTTTTTTTAGCTGACCCGCATGCATATGATTCAAATTTAAAATTCTGATACTGAATATGAGAGAAAAAATTACTCATATTATCAAACTGAAATCCGATTCAGTATTAGTTTTATTATTTACCAAATCCATTTTTCTTGCGTGTAAAATTCATTGAATGAAGACGGAAAATGATAATTTTTCTTGAGGATCATCAGAAAGCTTTGTGCACTGTTCATTTGCTGCTGCGTTATGCATGACGCATACAAATAGTTTTCATTTTGAACCTTGAACCAGAAATAGGAAACTGTTTCTCTTTTCTAGGTAAACTTCCATTTGAACAGAACATTGTCTTTCGGACGTCGACAACCGTGACGGAGAAATTACGTTGCGACGATGTCAAGTGCTGCATAAACAGCCCTTCGACGCGATTACGAGACGAATTTGATTTCCTTGACACATTTGCATCCATTTATTTCTTCGAACTTCATTCCACTTTCATCCATCGGCGAGGAAAGTGAGTTTGACTCGATAATTTTATCGATATCATTTTCGTCGAGTCGAAATAAGAAACAGTTGCATGTTGTGTAACACTGATAAAATACACCCTTGACTCGGCCGAATATTTCATTATCGTGCTTGACGCAATATCTTCGATACAAATACAAATCGATAGGAAAAACAGAGGATTTAGCACATGTTCAGTGCGGTTATTTCTTCGTTGAATTTTCAAGTTTATCTGTGGAACATCATTTTAATTCCTTTACGCTAGTTTTTACTTTCATTGGAGTTTTCGAAGCGTGTCGAGAAATTTAATGGATTAATTTCAGCGGGTTTAACGTTACCAGAATCGTGAAGCGCAGTATAGAAAAACGGCGGAATGTTTTTGAGAAAGATTTCGACAATCATTTTGTGTTTCGCAATAGTTTCTTCGGCTTATGAAATTGAATACAAGCAAGTTGACAGTGAAAATGCTGTACTTTTCACTGAGGAGCACGATCACTGCATGATTCTTGAAAATGGAAGGTGAGTTTCACACGACTCCAGGATTACTTTTATTGACATTTCAAAATCAAATGGGAGTCGCATATTTTTTTTCTGAATAAAAAAATGTGTTCCTGGAATGTGCGTGACCACAGTTCGAAATTGAGACATAATAAAATGCGAACTTTGGAGAATATTCTAGTTATCCGACGTCTTGATTGAAAATTCGCATTCTGTCCTGCAACGCAGAACTTTTGAAATGAATTTATTGAAAATATTTCAATATCACTAAAAACTTCCCTCGACTCGGAGAGCTCACAATTAATTTTGACTACAGAAACTTCCAGAATTTTTCAGAAAAGTCTTCCAGAGGTTATACGTGGGGATTCTTTCGCTTTTTTGGTTGAAATGAAAGGAAAACACAGAAAGCTTTGGCCAGAAAAGTTCGTCCGCTTTTCAACTCGAATCCCATTCGACTTCCAAAAACAGGCAAAGAACTTCCGCAAAACTTTTTTCTCCCCCAAACTCGCACAGAACTTCACAGCGACCAAATGCGTCACAAATAAGAACAGACTCAAAAAGTTTAAAAACAAAATAAAATAAAAAGAATTTCAATCGTTATTCCGGGTGTCGTCGGAACAATACCTGCACTGCGTCCCGGGATTTGTCAGAAAAATCTAATTTGCCGCGTGGCTGATTCCGTGCTTGCAGGTCGTCGCAAATCGGAATTTTGGAGTACTTGTCCCTGGGTATCCGGCATTTCAACCCATTTTCGACTCGGAAAGTTGTGACCCAGTCTCCGGAAATGTTCGGGAAAACGCTGCAACGCTGCAAACGAGTCCAAGAACAGGACCGAACAACCGGCGAATTTCCGCCCATGCGTTGGGATTTAATTTACCCAGGTAAAGATCTTAACACGCTTCCGGGCACCTGTTCTTGTCTAACCTAAATAAATCATGCCAATTTAATGTATTAGTATAATGGTTTTCGTGCCTCCTTCACAACTTGAACTGATGGTGGAAGGTTTCGACGACTGATATTGCTCCAGAGATCCAAGAACATAAATATCAATTTGAAAATTCAGTGAGACCCCGAGATGCGGACGTGTAATTGGAGCATCGAGAGAGTGTCCTGATGTTGAAATGTCCCTAAGTTGAGTCTCATTTTCCCTCAGACTTCAATGCTAATGTATTTAATTCTTTCTTCTTTTTTTCGAAGATTATAAATAAGTCTACAAAAAATGTAATAAAAATTGTTTTGCTCAACTTCAACTTGTAGAAAACAACTGTACAGAAAAATCACATATAATCTGATCTTTTGGTATCAAAAAGAGATAAAAAAACAAAGAAAAAGATCAAGTCATGCTAGAATATGTACAGACCATAGAAAAAACTCTGAAAAAAGAAGCGCAAAATCAGCTTGCTTTTGATTATGAAGTGGAGTGAATTTATCATGAAATGTATTTTCAATTTTTGTGAATATAAATAGCTTGATTTCTTGAAAAGATATCAAAATTGATTTTTTGGGAAAATTTCAGAGAAGTGTCCCTAACTTAAGCCAATGTACAAATGTCGGGCCTGATTTTTTTGGTTTTCAAGTGTCCCTAAGTCGCATTGTCCGTATATTGGGGTGTCCGAATATTGGGGTCTCACTGTATATAGTGAGTCTGAAATAAATTTCAAGTGTTGAGAGAAAAACTCAGCACTCAATCAGACATAGTTTCTGCCTGGGAATCCCTTCGATCAAATTTTAAAAATTTGGCTGTTATTCAATTATATTAAACAAGAATCTGATTGGATCGCGACAAATAATCGCTCATTTCAGAATTCTTAAACACGATCGAACGCTAAATACTGTATTGAATTTAGTAACAGGGAATCCTTCAAACAGGATGAAATTGGCAATAGTAATAAGCCTGACACAAAACGATTCTCTCTTGCTTGAGATTAAAAATCTATGACGGTCGTTTCACCCACAGCCAGGTCAAAGTTTATCAGATATATATGGATCAAATTCTCATAAATTTTGGAAAACTGTCAGTTGGGCATGCGAAGGAATGTATATTTGAAACGCAGTTACTTTTGATCATGTCGATCAATATTCGTTTTTTGACAGTAAGGCGATGAACACGATATTGCGTTAATTTAAATTGACTAATGTTAGCTGAAGATATCGATTAAAACTTTGCCTCGAATCTTTTTTCTTGTCAAAAAAGCGCTTTTAGTAAAAGTCTTATCGGCCAAATTCCACGTTACCTTCATTCTACTGAAATTATCTTGAATATTGCTTGAAGCTATTATGAGGGAAAACAGATTAAATACCAGGGATTATAAATTAATGATATTTGCACCAATTTTCCTTGGATTATACACCCATACATACATTATTTGAATAATCAATACCAGTGTATAATTATTTAAGACGCTTTTTCCCCATGCATGCAGGAGACAGTTTTTTTTCATTATTCGGCATACCTGCTTGCTGTTTTCTTGTTTTCTAATTTGTCTTTTGATCTGCATAATCAAGAAAACAGCATATTTTAGGCTGTTTTTCCAGATTATTTAAAATGAATCGCACGTCGATTGAAAGCTAATAATATACCTCGTGTATAAAGAGCATGAAAACGGTCTGAGAGAGGCGTCACAATTTCAGCGATTTGTGATGCACCAACATGGGTTCGGATAATGTGCTTCATATATATGGCTAACATATTCATGATTGCAATTACCATTATTGATGGGAGAAAATATTCCTTTGCCGTCGCGTACTGGGATCCATTCCGAATTGATTTCCCAATTATAATCACATTCGAAGTAATTTGCGTAGGATTAATTGGGCAATATTGAATAGTACACTTCTCTTTGCCTCGACGCTGTAATCATGCATATATACTACACAATTTAAGCTTTAGAGCTCGAATAATTTGCAGTTCTATGTACAGTAATGCATTTCTCGAAAATATTATAAGTTCAGAAAAGAGGACGTTTCTCCAACGATCCGAACAAAAAGGACAACACTTCAGCAACTCATCGGATCTGAAATCGTGAAAAAAAATATTCTACCTACTATAATATTTTGAAAGTAATTTCTAGAAATTTCTCTCATTCATGGATTGCTCCGCGATTGCTGTCTCTTTATTTTGAAACAATATTTTGGAATTTATGGACGGAAATCAAATACACTTGATTTGATTTCCGGCCATAAAAATTGAACTCTTGAACCTCAGCCGTCAGTATGAGACAAATAAATCTTCGGTGACTGTATTTTTTTATTTTCTTCTCTGCCATATGACGTTAAAACCGCAATCTGATCTCTAAACGAACCTGATCCAAGAAACAGGAAATCGATGAAAAAGGCATCCAGTAAAACCTTTGCTCACCCTCTTTTGTACGAAGACCGGGTGACAACAGAAAGGCCGCCAATAACAAAAGAATGCATTTTCTGTTCATTTTATGAAATATTTAATTTCGTCAGCCATATATTTCAGTGAAGCCCATTTCGCGATGGAGACATTATCCAAACAATAGGACGAAGATTTTATAAAACCTCTTATAGCTCAATTCGTTGTGTTCCCTGGAAAAATGTCGAACGTTCAATTCAAAAATCCTCGATGGTTCACGAGGCAAAATTTGCTGGAAAAATTGCCTCCAATTTTAGGAATAACAACGTTCTTTTTGAAACACAAGGATTTTGAAGCATATTCAGCATTATACAATTTAATTTAATGGACAAGGATATGTTTAACCGATTTACGATACGCAAATTTTAAAATTTTCAAACGTTGAGAAGCTGAATATTTTATGTCCTTGAGAAGTTATGTTCCCTGAAATTCCTTGCAAATCACATGACATTACGTGCTTTCATGTGGTCATGTGATGGTTGCAATGGTCATAAAGAACCACCCACTTTAAAATACAAGTAAGTTCAAAAATTGAGAAATGACATTCAAGCCATTTATACTGTCTATTAGGCCATGAATGATTGTACAAACTTGATTTCTATCTGCACATTCTGGTCTTGAAAAATTCAAAATTGTGTATAACTCACGCAATTCTACGAAAATTTGAATGGAAAACGCACCAAAATTGCTAAATGATGCGTTTGTCATTTTTATTTGCTTGATTTTTCAACAAATAAAGTCAAAGAGATGGTGAACAAAAATTCCCTGAATCCTACAGCAATTCAGCATATACAGTATTATTTACATTTTTATTTCTAATTCCACCATCATTCGGATTATTTTAAAAAAGGTGGCAATGATGAACGGGCTAAAAACGTTGGTTTTAATTTTATAGTGCTAAAAATTTGGTATATTTTAAATTATTTTTTTGCTGACTTGAAATATGCCTCTTTCAATTCTCACCTTTTAAAAGCCACCAAAATCCCGACATCCACCAACTCTTACCCATTGTGTTTTTGCTTTCCATGGAATTCTCTCGTCTCCGCTATGATTCTGAAAGGACAAGAAGAACTACGTGCTGAGGGGAATAAAATTCGGAACAGGGTAAAGTGTGGGTTCACGCAAAAGTCGATCGATGCATCGGAAAAACGATTGCGACTTCAGCTCATCTATCAAAGACTCGTTCTCACGCAGGAAACTCGTGTCTAAAAATTCCGCCGACCCGAAGCAAATTCTTCGTGAAAGAAACATTGCTAATGAACCCGTGTGCTGCAATCGATTCTGAACTCGGTTTTGATGCATTTTGATTAGCATTTCCGGCTGATGATGTTTCTTTTTTTTCTTCAAGAGACACGCGTAGCTGTATATGCAAATTGTTTCGCATATCTTTGCAGGAACGGTTTGGTGTGGTGACGGAAATATTGCGGATGGTTACTATGACGAAGGAGAACTGCGGACATTGGATGTTTGTTGTCGGGCACACGATTTTTGCCCGGATTATTTGTACACGGGTATTTATTATCCGTTGTTCAACCTGACTAACGAGTTGCCTTTCACAGTGTGAGTACAGTTTTGCACAGGAATCACTCAGTTCGAATTCATGAACGCATTTTCCCAGTGCAGGTGACTCACGCAAATAATTAAATTTAGTTCAAAAATAATTATAGTAGATTAAAAAATTAAAAAAAAAAACCACGTTTTCAAAAAGCAAAAAATAACCTTAAACGTGGTGCGCATCTATTTCATTTGTATTTCACTTCTTCCCAACAATCTCCATGCGCACCACGTTTAAGGTTATTTTTTGCTTTTTGAAAACGTGGTTTTTTAGATTAATTTTTTAATCTACTATAATTATTTTATTCTTTTTAAAAAATATTCTTAAAATTAATTTTTTCACAAAAGATTGCATTGTCATCAGTTTCTAGGCTATCCTGAAAGTTTCAGCTTGATAGCTAGTCGGGAAGTGAGTGAAATTTGAGTTTCAAAATTTGATCCGGACAAACAAACAGACAAGAAAGTGAGTTAATAAAAACGTGTTAATTAATTAGAAAAAAAAATGTTCCAGGGGGTGGGATTGAACTCGGACCTCTGCGACCAATTCAGTTCACCATGGGTTTTTTTCTTGGGGCCAAGGAAAACCTGCTCAAAGTTTTATTATAGAAATCTACTATAATTATTTTATTCTTTTTAAAAAATATTCTTAAAATTAATTTTTTCACATAAGATTGCATTGTCATCAGTTTCTAGGCTATCCTGAAAGTTTCAGCTTGCTAGCTAGTCTGGAAGTGAGTGAAATTTGAGTTTCAAAATTTGATCCAGACAAACAGACAGACAGACAGACAGACAAGAAAAGTGAGTTCATAAAAACGTGGTAATAAAGTATCATGGTTTTTAGCCTTCGACAGCGAATTTGGGAAACCTTTGCAGAAATTTCTTGTCGCCCAAGCAAAAGAATAAAAATGAATAAAATATGCTCAAGGAAAAATTCCTACATTTCCCCTCTGCTTTGCGCATACATTTTTTTGGCTAAAAAATCACCAAATGGTCAATTTTTTTTATGAATTCCAACCATGATACTAATTTGGGAAATCTACAGAAACATTGAGGTTTATCCTTGTTTGTTTCCTGCAAAATAATGTCTACCTTAGCCTTGCACAACTGAAATAAGGTTTTAATAGTGACCTTTCAATCGAAATAGCCGAGCGCACCGGATAAAAAACTGAAATTTTGCACTGCTGAAGTAGTGCTAATGCATAGAAAACCTTGGCTGATGACGGTTTATTGGGTCCAGCACGCTTTTTTCACGTAGGTCACGCATTTTTATGTTAAATTCTATTCCGTCTATAATAATAAACTTGAGAAAACAAAATTTGATTCATTTCAGCTGGCTGAATAAGTTTTTTTTTATAAAAATTTCAACCCGAAAGACAAACTGAGAATTACTCTGATTTTCATCAAGCACTCTATTGTTCAATTGTGTGATAAAATGTCAGTAAAAATAAAACATTACAGTAAAATGCTTCCTTTCGTTTATGACACGTTCAGGATATACTTTTAGGCATCAAATGTTTTTGGTTTGGCGATGATTTGGATGCGGAGAAAAAGGTTAAAGTCAATGAAGTTGTGATACAGAAAATATTTGACAGGACTTCAGCAATTGCTTTTCCTTAGACTCAATCCTCATGAAAAATGTGCAACTAAATATTCCAATCGATCGTCCTAAACCGTTCAGTTGAAAATTCTTGACGTGCGGATGATAAAGTTCCAACGAAAATGTTGTCAACTTTGTCAATTTTTCCGTCCATGTCATGGTTGCCACATCACCCAATGTCTGTTTATCGCTAAATATAGGTGGCGAAAATAATTAAAATATTTGATAGGAATTCTAAAAAAAAGTCAGCTTCGTTGTTTGAAGCAGAAAAAAATTAATAAAGAGAAAACCCGGTCATCGATTGTGGGTTGAACTAAATGCCCTTGGGCCTTTTGCAGGAACCACTGCGACTGCGATCAAGCTTTCCAGGAATGTTTGCAGAGCGTAAACGATGCCGACAGTCAAGCAGTGGGCGAAATATTGTACAACCTCCTCACGCAACCTTGCTTCCGAGAAGATTACCCCATCGTTCAATGCCTTGAATGGGGAGGGTAAAGTTTCTTTCATATTAAAAAGGACTTTTCAGTAGTTCACCTACCTTTTCTCGTAGACTATGGCAACCCGGTTGAAGGAATAAGCTGCAGAAATAGCAGAACTTTTTCCACGATATGCTTGCGCCGACGCCAATTTTTCCTTCGATCAGAAAGCCATATTTCGCCAAATAGGCTGCTACATGAATAATCGTCGTTCAACAAAAATTGGAGTTAATATGGAATATTTAGTCATAAATAATGTTTTTGTATCGAGTGTGACAAACGTGATTTTATGGAATTACAGGGTAAGGTTCAACTATTATGCAAGAGAACTATTTTGCAGAAAAAACTTTCCCATAATTCAGAGTTCTCCGTAGATTTCCTGTGAATTTTTTAGATGATTCTCAGACATTTTCTATCTTTAGCTCAGGCTGCATTTCGGTGATTTTTGGCAATGCATAAATAAGCCTGTAGGTGAAAAAAGATACCCCATCTCTTGTGCATAAGATTAAAACCCCAGACTTATAATAGTTCAAATTATCTGCATGATCTTGAACTTTTTCATTCATGATTTTTATTTTATATTCATACGAAATAAATAATAATAAGTGCAGTAGAATGTAAACAAGTTTACTATGTTTATCGCATTCAAGATTTTTGAAATATTTCATTATACACTGTAAGAAAATATGAGGCATGTAATTCCGTGATTTTTCAAATATAACTGAGGTAAAAGCAGATCTTTCGTGCAAAAACTTTTGAACACAATAGGTTTTCTGCTTAATCAAGCACCATTTTATTGTTATAAACTTTCTATAAAATCGATTCTGCAGACATTTTGTGATGCCGAAACGAAAAATTTGCGGAAAGTTGGAACAGCGGTTCATTTTTTTTTTTAGCACAATGAAGCATTTTAAATTTTGATGGGAGAAAATCCTTTGGATCTCCGAGGAATCGCAAATGTCGAAATAATAAAATTGTTGACGCTGGTTTTGAACGGTTTTGATAAGAGCCAAAATTTGAAGCACACTTGAACAACTTTTGAGATGCCCTGAGAATATTTGCCTTCCCCACGCGTTTCTGTGGAAAAGCCCTTGACCTGAATGACTTACAATGAGGAGCCCGGTTTTTTTTATTGATTTCGAATCGCAGATTCCTTGGCAACGTGTGTTTGCAATACGAGCTCGACTTCTCAGGAGAACCTTTTTGGCAGATCTTCAGCAACCCGTTGTACACCCAGAGCAACGACACCATCCACGGTTATCGATGGTTCCAGTCGCTTTTCCCTTGATGAGGGCATCGAACTGATGAAACTGCGAATCGTATTTATTGCAACGACATCTAGGGATGGATTCGTCTAACATATTCGGATTTCTTTTGTCGATTGTCTTCGCATTTGGGCTATCGTAATGCACGGATGACGACTTCGTTTCCCCCGTATATGTGATTATTCAATGCTGAGGTAGTTGGAACTGCGCCGAAATTCAAATTTCTTTCAACTATTAGAAGAAAACATTTGTGAGTCTTCATCTCGTTTCTACATGCTACAGTATGTGAAAGTAAAACGGGCACAAAATGTACAAGAAATTCGACATCGAGGCACTTTCGACAAAATGCCAGAATATTCATTATAATTTAGCATTCGAAGAAAATATGCTTCTTCAATCAAACGTAGGCTTCTTCGTATTGCTTTTGATTCACCCGAAAAGAACAAACATTTTCCAACGATATGACAAATGAGTTTAGGTATTTATTACTAGTTTGTAGTACTGTATGTTCAATTTCAATTTGAAAAATGACATCTAATTCCTGTTTACCTCATTTCTAATACATTGAAATATGAGTTTGCTAAGAAAACCCTGCAGAGAGAAATAAAAATGTGTATGAAGTATATACAAGGCATTCTTGAAGTTCAAACTTCATAACATCCAAAGCACAATTTATAAATGGGATACAAGTATAGAACTGCTATGAAATTTGAACATTGGCTGAGAAACAATCCAATTTAAAAGGTGAACAAGTTAACACATCAAAAAACTAGCCAAACACCCAATTCTCACTTTCAAGAGATTCCTGGACCTTATCCAACAGCATCATTCAGATAATCGCATATTCTAAATATTGAAAAATTCAAGAAAAAAGAGAATAATACTGTATGCACATTGAAGTGTCCGCATTACAACATAAAAAGTCATATATGATTTTTGATGAAGGTGAGGAAAAATCGGAATATGCGAAGAATACAACTTTCAGCATGAGACGGAAAATCTCGTTTCGCTGAATAAGCAATATAAAAAGCTAGATTTTCAACTCGATTACAGTTGAAATAACGTTGGATGTATCTGGTTTTCCAAATAATTTGAAGCTTAATACGCTGCAAATTTGGTCAGAGCTTTCATTTAACACGGCAAATCGGAGGATCGTTCATCATCTTAACAAAGTGGATATATACGTAATAAGTTAAAATCTTTTCCCTCACATAAAATTTGATTCTGGAAGGTTTTGCATGTGCAGCCGAACGAAATTTAGTGAGTGAACTTTTAATTTTGGGAATAATTTTAGTCCAGCGATTTAATTTCGAGTTGATTTCTCATCTCAGTCTGTGAAATTTTTGGTCAAGACATTTTCAATGACCAGCATCTCTATCGCTGATGAAGTAATTAATTTTCAAATTTGAGCCTTACTCCGAACATGCGAACGACAATCGTGCCAATAAGAGGGGGATCCTGAAAGAGAGCTGCATGGATCCTCCCCTTTTTCTATATCACCCGATCCCATTAAAGTCACATGTTGCAGTTCTTAGAAGACGTTTCTCTTTCTAATGAAGTCACACAAAATGATGTCTCTTGACGTCACGAGTAGCCCCAAGAAGGGCGTATCCGACCCGGAGATTCTCCGCTGTAGATATTTTCGAGCACCGGGGGGATGAAGCAAGGATCCTTCCTACACATAGCTGTTCTCTCCAGGAACCTTCCTTCTGAACCCCTATGGCTAGTTATATACTTCCCTCTCTTTCTTCTCTCGTCTCTTCTTTTTTCTTTTCTTACTGTATTCCTTTTTTCAACAGCGGTAAAGCGGGTTCCCATGAATAACTGCCCGGAAGGGCCCTGTGCTAACCGTTTCATCAGAGTGGGGTCCGAATGCCACGGTTTTCTTTTTCCGCAACGAAGCTTTTTCTTTTTTATTTTTATTTTTGCTCCCCTGCTGTGCAGCCATGTTTAATCAGAGCGCAGTGAAAGAGCAAAGGCAGAGTTGGGAGTGGAACGAACCCTGGGTTTTCGCCTGCAGACGCAGTCAGGCTGCTGTTGCTGTGGAGGAAGCTACTACTACTACTACTACCACCACCACCACCACCACTCCTGTTGCATCGTTGGGTGGGAAGGGCGCAATTCTTGGTGGCCCAGAAAAATGTGACTTGTAGCTTTCAAGAGAAATTCTGCTGCTGGGGATTAACCCTTCAGTGGCAGTGCCAGGATAATTTTTTTGGGCATTCTTCATTATTTGGACACTTCTAGCCATTGTGTTGCAAAATTGGGATATTTTTTAAAATTTTGTGTCCATGCATGATAGCTGAAAATTTAAAAATCTTATTTTTGAACCAAAGCATAACTTGGAAAAAGTGATATATATATTTTTTTGTAATCCTGCAGAAAATTTTACCTAAAAATAAAAAAGTCATCATTCATTAGAATTTTTTCTGCATTCCTAGCGTAGGATAAACACTGGTGATTTCTCAAGTCAATAGGATATTCTCCACCCAAGTACCCAGTTTTTCCAAACTTACACAATCCTAAGCCATAGGGGCATTTCAGCGATCTTTGGTCACAATGAAGTGTACCTCTCCCTTGGAACAATCCAAACTCTGCTTTGGGATGGAAAGGAACCCTTCACCATCCAAGGGTTGAATTACAAAAAAACATTCCATTGGTAAATATAGCCTAAGGTGGGATGCATCCACATATATTTTTTACACTTGAGCAAAAAATTTATGGTTAAGCCAAAAAAAGTTTTCCACTCATTTATATTCAAAAATGAAGGGGGGAACTAAAAGCTTAGAAAATCAATCAAATAAGCATTTCTGCTGACATAAAGTTCTGCCAAGCAGAACACAAAAAAAATAAATGCTGGTTTTTCTGGTATCTTCCTTTAACCCTTGGGCAGCAAAGTTGGACTTTTCCCACAAAATTTGGTGCCTGCAATAAACAGCTTTAAAAAACACAGGACAATGCATCCCGGGCAAAGTCAGGAAAAATCCTGGTGTCTTTTATAAGCATAGAAAAAGTTCACTCAGAAAAAAACCATCCCCAAGGCAGAGCTTTTTTTTATCCCCTATAGTTGGATTTGTTTTTTTATTGGGGAGCTCTTAATCCTTTCATTTTTGGTGCCAGAAGAAGGGTTAGATTTGCATAAAAAGTCCAACAATGGGAAATCTGAACACAATGGTTTTCCTGGAAAAAGTCTGAATTTGCTTAAGCCCACCTGGCTTGGCTTTCATGGCCTTAGACAAAAATGAAACACAGGCCCACCCAAGAAAATCCCAAATTAGTCCAGCAATGGGAAAAAACCCTTTTAGGATTAACAGAGATGAGAACCAATTTTGGTTGCGATTCCCACAACAGAAAAAGACCCCCCTCTTTGTCAAAATGCAATTTTGGTAGAAGTTCTCACTGTTAAAATTAGAACACCCCCTTTTGACAACGTGGAAATCTGTAAAAAAAAAAATTCCAGGTTTTTTGTCTCATGCAAGGTACAGTAATTGAGTAAATTTTAATTCTGCACTGCATTCATGGCAGTCATATTGAAAGTTGTCTTGCAAGAAATTTTTTTTTTCAAACTTGTGTTGTGCAAAATATTCAAATTTTGGAAAAAGGTGTTTCAATTGTACAATTTGGTTGATTTTTTTCAGAAAACAGAGCTCATACTTGTGCGGGCATCCTTCCTGGCTCATTGCTCAATGGTCAATTGCTGTGTTTTCAATTTCTCCTAGAAATGAGCAAACTTTTCTCCAACTCAAAAACATTTCTTTGCATTTAACAGTTTGACACCAGATTTGGCAAGTGTCCTTCCAAAACCTTCATTACGTTGCAAAATCGGCTCAGTTTGCTTCATACTTGATACCAATAAGTAATTTTCAACCAATTTGAACATACCATTTAAGAGAGGAAGTGATGGAAAATTAACAATCAATTTGATTAAAATTCAGGTCAAAATTCAAATTCTGGTCTATTTCATTTTAAAATTAGTTTGAGTTTTGGTCTTCAAAAATTGGGTGTTTATCTTCTTACTCGGAGATAAATTTTTTTTTAATCAAAATTTTATGTTGAAAATTTAGGTGGTGCTTTATGCTTGAGGACCTGGACATCTAGTAATTGAAAAAAATTGGCAAGGGTGCCCAAGATATGACCCATGGGCCAGATCCAGCCCATGGAGCATTCCTGTCTGGCCCAGGACAATCAACCCACCAACCGCAACATACTTCAATGCAGAAAACCTAGAGGTCACCCCAACTCCCAAAAAAATTCAATAAATTCTTGAGAAATAAATTTGGCCATTTTCAGTGCACTATAGCTTGCACTCCAAGTAAAAAATGTAGGAAGTGTACATTTTGTCTGAAACATCCACCCAAATTAAGAGAGGACATTTTTCATGGCTCTGCTATTTGGCCTGCGACCAGGTTTGAGTTGGGCACCACAAAGATAGGATACCTAATTCACAAAAGAACCATGCACCTTATTTTTTCATACTAAAAATGAAATTCTATCCCCATATAAGATGCACACTCCATTTTTAGTGACTGAAGAAATACAATAATTAAAAAATAAGAGGCACCAGAAATCAGATTTAAACATGGATGCAATCTAAATTCAATTAATTTTTCTTTTGTTTTCATTTAACCCTCAGATGATGGAGGGTTCCTTTCCATTGTGTGGCAGAGTCCAATTTTTTGGGGGGTGGTGCATTTCAGTTTTACCAAAGGTCATGGAAATGCTCCCAAGTTGGAGAAAAATCCAAGAGGCAAATTTTCCATTGTTTTCAGGAATCTCCATTGATAATTTTATGCCAGGAATGCAGGAAAAATGCCACCCATCAGTGATACATTTTTGTAAATGTTTGATGAAAAATTTTCTGCAGGATTATAGAAAATATTGATCTTTCTCCAGACACAGGCCTTGGTACAAAAGTAGAATTTTTAAAATTTCCAGTGCTCATGGGCACACAATTTTGCAAAAACATCCTGACTTTTCTGTACAAGGTTTAAAGGAAGTCCCTCTAAAAAATAGCCCATATTTGTGTGACCTGCCCCTGAACTTGTAACATTTTTTTCTGAAAATTGTATCCCCACATATGACCTGCACCCCCTTTTCCCCTCTAATTTTTTCAGACAAAAAAAATCACACCTGGTACTCAAGTAAAAATTGTTTTAACTAATCTTCATCCTTGTGCGGAATTTTTTCTCGACACCAGCGGCAGTGTTGATTTCCCTGAGAAGGGACAAATAGCTCGAGTTTACTAAAATTGGCGCGTCTCGGGACGTGCCCGGGGCTGTAAATTAATCCCCTTGGCGGGGAAACAGGCGGGATCAATTAACTTGCCAAAGTCGGCACACCAACAACATCTTAACCCCCACCCAAGAAAACGAGTACATCCCCCATAAATTAATCCCCTTGGCGGGGAAACAGGCGGGATCAATTAACTTGCCAAAGTCGGCACACCAACAACATCTTAACCCCCACCCGAGAAAACGAGTACAACCCCCGGAACCGGGACAAAACAGTCGTCAAAAACAACGTCTCCACTTTATCAACAAGGGGACATCGAATCCCCCCTTTTCTTTTCTTTTCTTTTCCGCAAAAACAGGGGTCATCTGACCCCTCCAAAACTCACAGAAAAACTCGACCATCTGCTGGCAACGCGTTCCCAAAAATTATCGTATCCTCTTCCCCAAAACAATTTATCTTCACAAGACCAAACCTTTTCTAAACTGTCAAGAAACACTAAAGTACCAGCAAAAATTAAATTACTTCTACAAGCATGTCCTCCTCTCTTTAATATTTTTACAAGCCTTCAAAACACCCGGTCTTTGGGAACAACAAATTCAGCCTTGTAAAGTTCAGCAAAATCGTAAAAACCACCCTGTCTCCTGAGAAAATATTACTGATCCAACTGCAAAATAGTGAAAAACACCAGCACCTGGTATTTTCCGTTACCCAACATCTGGGATTCCCTGAAGATATTACCCAACCCTCCCTGTCGATTTTTCTTGTTAAAAACCCCTGATTTTGGCGCCGAAACACACAGTCTGAATTTTGCCGTCGAAGCGTTTTTGTTGCGTCGTGAATCTTGTACTTTGCGGAAAAACCTAAAAAACTCTGTGAAAACTGTTGTGAATATTTTTTACTGCGGAAACTGTTGTGCATATTTGTTGTCTTGCTTATCTATTTTTCTGTCGAAGTATTTAAACAAAGGCTTGCACTTTTTGGGAGAGAATCCCTGGTCAGTTTGCGCACCGGCCAATTGTTGTGTTGAATTTATTTTCTTCATTTCTGTCTTGTCCTCAAAAAACTATCTTATAATTCCTAACTTATAAGTACCAAATTAAAACCTTATCAACTTGAAGTATTTTAAACAGTACTTGCAAGGTGTACGGCTTGCTCCAATTTATTTCCCTTCTCACATAAAACCATACATGTTCAACAAGCATCCATAAGTTCAAGAGGGCACAGAATGGGACACATCAACTTATTATTTCCATCCCAATGAAAAAAGATGTTCTCAAGAACATTTTGGCTCAATTGCATGGAGTCTAAATATCATTTCTTCATATAAGCAAGTATATAATTGCATGAAGAGATTTTCTGTACTATAAGGAGATTCTATGCTTACATACCCCTTGTGAATACCATTGGTTCTTCTCAGAGACATTTGAAGTGGCATTTTCAGGAATGAAGGGAATCACAGGACTCTGTTCCCAATGATCCCAACAGCTGGATTCGTAAGGAGCTGGCAAACGGACCACCTTGAAGGTGTTCATTGCAAAATTGGTCTCTGTGTTGGGGCTTACGAAGCCGCCATCTTGGTTTGGATTTTGCAATTCTCCAGGATGCGTTATCTTGACTCTGGCCCCAGCCCCAGAGCCAATAATTGACTCTGAATACTCCTCATGGCGAAACCGCATCTCCACTGTCAATCCTGGAATATTTTATGAAATTTGTAATTTTCCTCAAAAATGTGGACAAAATTAGGAATTTGTGTGAGTTCTTTGAAATATATGTCAGAAGTACTCAGAAAAGTTCTTTTGATTACCTTTGTTGGCTGGCAGGAAGTTTTTTATTTCTCAACTTTATGATTTAGAATCCTCTATATACACAGTTGTTTTATTCATAACAATGCATAAAATCAAGCTTCTGCTTATTTCTCACAGTTTCTTTCTATTTCCATTTTTACATTGTCAATCACCAATACAAATTTGATTTAAATTTCATTAATCACAATCACAGCAGTGTTAATATTTGCTCAACACACATTCAGTCGAAGATGTATTTGATCATGAGGTTTCCAATGAAAGAAAGGATGACCTTGGAGAAATACAGTAGTTGGAGTATTAAATTTTTTACAAACAGAAAAAAATAGGATGTGCCATATAAAAACCTGTGCACTTGATCTAATTTTAAGAAAATGTTTCAGTAGAACTTAGATCTTTATAAAAAATTAGGTGATCCAGCAAATTTTGAGGTGTCAACATAGATAGTTCACAATTTTTTGGAACTAGCAAAGATTTAAAATGATTTACTGCCCTTGTTTCTTGTTAGAATTTCTGGCCTTATTTGAAGCAATGCAAAAGTGCATGTGGAATCTTTCAAAATGGGTGAAATTCATGCTTTTTTCTTTGAAAATTTTTAGTCTCAATAACTTTTTCATGCTATTACAAATGAACCTTTCTTGTGCTACAAAGAGTAACCCAGTAATGACATAATTGTTAAAGAAACCCTTATTGTACTTGCTGGGATGATATTCACCATTAAAAGGTCCAATTTGGTTTGCAAATTCCAGTGATGAGTTTTCAGGGTTCTGATGCTCAACATTCCAGTGATTATAAGTGTAGCACAATCCATACTTGGGAATGAAAGTTGTTCTGAAAAGACTGATTCAAACGCATGATTATGATTTGATTGTATGCCAATATATGAGAATGTTTTTGAAACACTTGACCAAGAAAAAAAAACAGTGAGAGTTTTGCAGAAGAATAACGGCACATTTCATAAACATTTCTCCATTTTAAATGTGCAAAAATCAAACATCACAGCTTTCCACAATTAATTCATGCATAATTTCAATCATCAACATTAAAGTTGAGATATTTGCTGTGATAGAATTGTTTTTACAATGAATCTATTTCCTCAATTATTTTTTTCTTCAATCCCACCACATGTTTTTTCAACATAGTCAAAACAAGCTGGAAATAGTGACTTCTAGGGGGAAATATTGTCAATTGGTAATGCAGTATTTTAAATCCATGCATGCCATTCATCTGTTTTTATTTAATTCATCTGTTTTTGGCACAACATGGATCTAAACCTAAATGATTTAATCTGTTTAGAATGAATGACTGAAATGTCTATTAAGCAACTTTCTTAGTATTTGCTCAAGTTTCAGCCTCTACCTCAAAAAAATGGTAAAACTGAGTGAAGGTTAGTTATTGAAGGTTGAGTTAGTCAAGATAAGAGAAGATTATACATGAAGATAATTATTCCAGTTCAATCTAGTATACTTGAAGCAAGAGTTTGCTAAGCAGTTATTAACCTGTGCTATAAAATAAACATTAGCTTTAAACCCAGGAATTCTAAGATGGAATTCTGGCCCCTTTCCCAAGCTTATTCCTGTCTTTTATTTGCACTATTTAGTTCCAGCTTGAACACTAACTTATACTGAGGCAACATCTGTCCGCAATACCATCAGTTTTTTGGCACTTTCCTGTTATCTCAGTACCTTGTTCCAAGACTGCACTACCATCCAGACAAATCTTTAGGACAAGTTCATAATCACAACAACCTACTAGAAACTGTGAATTTTATTTTTCCGCATTCTGCTGAAACTGATTTTGGGAGGCAGTTAGGTAAAGTTAGGTTAGGTCAGGTTATGTTAGTTACAGATATCTTTTGATTAACATAACCTGACCTAACCTAACCTAACTTTAACAAACCACCTCCCAAAATCAGTTTCAGCAGAAATCCAAAGAAAGCAGAAACTGATTTTGGGAGGCAGTTAGGTGAAGTCAGGTTAGGTCAGGTTAAATTGGTCAGAGGGAAGGTAAAGAGATAGCAGGAAAGTACCAGCTTTTTCTTCCTTTCGGACATATTTCAGCATTAATGTTTGTTTACAGTTATATACAAGTGAAATGGTAACCTCTGATGACTTACTATAATTAGAAAACTATGGGAGTAACTTTGGGTTACATTTGTGTTGCTGTTGCTGTGAATGACCAATTTTCTTTCAGTTTATCATTTTTTAAGGAATTCCTGATTTTTAAAGCGTGACTCATTGCTGATGAACATTATACATTTTGAAGAGGGACTTTTTAAAACTTCAGGTTCAAAATATTCACTGCTGAGATATTGGCAACTTATTTTTCATGATACATTAATATGGGGGACACTCGAAAAGAAAACTTTGTTGGGCAAAAATTTCCCTTTGATTGGAGTCAAGACAAATAAACTGAGTTTATTTATATATACCTCTCAGACCTGCAAGATGCCCCAGACTGAGTGCAGTGCACAATGAAGTCTTCAAATCCTTGCGAAATTTCCTGAATAAATTTCCTGTGCTCTGGACTTCTGTAAAGCATCGCCAGCTCAGTGTAAAACCTGTCTGCAAAGTGAGTCTCAAGGGTGTCGAAAGTTTTCTTGCTATTGACATCGAAATTTCTTGGCTCGAATTCCGGAAAAAGCAGGGACTTGAGGGAAACACTTTTGCAGTTGATGGCACTGGGGAAAAAATACAGATTTACAGCACATGAATAAAAATAAGATCCTAATATATTCTATGCAGTTGAAGTATATATGCAAAATATTTAAAAAATTAATGTTGACTCACAAATTCGTGAGGAACTGATCAATGACTGAATGTTGACCTTCACGTGGATTGATTGTTTTTATTCCTTCCCTGCATTCCGGTGTAAGTTGACGATTAAATGCTTCGATGTTTGACCAGTTTTTAGCAATCAGCAATTTTTCCAAGCTCAGAACCCAGGTCTGAACAGGTTCTGCTTCATTCTTGATGAGCTATAAAAAAAAGTGAATGAAAATTAATCCCGCTGGTCAATTTTAAAAATTCAGTGAGACCGTCTTCTCAAAAACATCGTATCTCACCGCAGAAAGGGAATAGGACTTGGGTCGTGAAACAGTGTCCAAGCAGTTGCTGTAATTCAGCAAGTTCTTCAGACCTTCGTCACCGGGGTGTTGCAAAAAAAGCGCCACGAGTTTGCTGCACTCCACGGGGTTCCGATTGCACAGAGTCACAGTTGGCAGCAGAATCTTTGTCTGAGACGTGATATTGACGATTGTGGTGACTGGAAATGACAAGAAATCTATGCCCACGGCGAGGGTGTTCCAGAGGGTGAATCCGAAGAGGAAAGTGAAGATCCCTACCCAGAGAACCCGGGTTTCCTGGGACTTGGCCCTTTGGATTTGCTTGATTCCCGCCAGGGAAGTTCGGCCAGCGAATTTGAGAAATGTTGCATCAACTCTTTGTTGTCTAATAAAGGTCACTTTTGAATTATGAGGCATTCTTCGAAAGAAAAAAAGAAAATGTAAGGTCATGTGCAAAGAATTATTTTTCATGGATGCTTAAAAAATTTTTCAAAATAAAAAATCAATAGTTGAAGGAAATATAACAAATTTGTGGGCATGATTTTGTGCATATATAGGTCATAATAAATGGCAGAAAACCTAGAAAAAAATTAAAATATGCAGAATTCGAACTTGATAAAAAAAAAGAAATCTTTCTGCAAAGAAAACTTGATGTTGAAAAAATACACAACAGGACATCTTTTAGGAAATTCTTTAGCTCATTCTTTTTAGAATTATGCCTTTTTAAATCAACAGTATGTTATAGAAGAATGTTCCTCTTTTTTTAAAGAGCCATGAGAGAGTGAATATGTTGATTGAGAAGAAAGTACAGTATTTCTACCAATAAATATAATTTTGCTTAATTTTATTTTTGAAGACAAGCGATTCGTTAGTAGAAAGGTCAGGTTACTTATAAAGGAGAGTACTATTTATTTCAGAAGATTTCTCTTCATTTCATCAAAAGTACTCATTAATTATATGATGAGTCTTGAATTATCTGTTTTATAAGCACTTTGAAGTATTTATTCCACATGTAAAACAAAATATCAGTCTGAAATAATGTGCTAAAAACCATTATTCTCAATACAAATGTTTTTTATTGTCATGAATTTGTTCTCAGGTCCCCGCAGGAGTTTCTTCTAACAAGATTTTACTGTATTCAGAGACCTATGTAATACAGTAACCACAATATAAAATCTAGCTGTTATGAGAATCTTTAATTACAGGAGAAGGCAGTCGGGAAACTGACGAAAATTTTACGCACCAAAACTTGAGCCAAAATTGTTTCTTATCGATCAGAATCGAAATAAGTGTCAATCAACATTTTAAAAAAAACGCACGCAAAAACGCACTGGTAATTGCTGAAAGTCACTCACTATTTTCAAAACCCGTTTCGTACTGCGTTTCAAATTTTTCACATCTGAGGCATATAATCAAGCAGTCGCAGAAAACTGAGCACAATATTACATTGCATCTGTTTTCCTTGCTTTGGTTGGTTGCCCAAGAACAATTGACGCATGTTTTTTTGCTGGAAGTGCGCTTCGCTGATTCGAAAGGAAGTCGTGGGAGTACTGCAATTGATTTCAGCTATCTCATCCTGACCTTGAATTTGAAAAAAAAATCATTCATTCAAAATTGTAACTTTCAAAGTTTAATTTTCAGCTGAGAAATGTTTGTAGAAAGAATCTTCATAGAACAAATATCTCCAACTAAATTTTTTTTTTGGACTGGAAGGTCACTGCTGTGGCCATGATTTAAGAGCCAAGATTTGCATGACCAGTGACTGATGTATAGCAGCCTCAGTGCTCCAACAATAGGGTGGATCCAACCTGGGCATGGTGGACTTGAGATTGGGGAGGTCTGCTATACTGACCCAGCAGTTGTCAGTTACATAGGGATGACTGGCATTTGGCAACTCTGGATTGCATGACCATTGGTTTACTGGGTACCCAACACTTCAGATCACATTTTCCCATGGACTTCAATGAGAACTTATCTCATTGATTCTCCTGGCAATGCAATCACAGTGCATTGGCCAACATTTGGACATTGGCAATGAAATCTCAATGCATTGGCCCACATCCAGCAGCAAGGTCTAGTGCTGGGGCCTTGGAGGGCAATCAACATGACACTGCTTACTGCCCCAATGCTTCAGTGCCAACGCCATGCCAATACCTTTTGCAATGCATTTTGCACTGACAAGCTTATTTGCTGGGCCCTTCATGCAAAATTGGAGCTGAATCCCTCAAAGAAGTGTATACAATTTTTTTCTCACCTTAAAAATACAGAATATATCTGTGCAGAATATAACCACATAGAATTGCATCTTTTGGACTTTCATAAGAACAAGAAAAAGTAGAAATCCTGCTAAACTGTACACAGATTATTGGAGAGCATTAAAAATATCCAACATCAATTAACCCAGTTTTGATGATAAATTTGAGAAAATTGTCATGATAAATCAGATGTTCTCTTTAACCTAGCAGACAATGCTCCGAGCAGCCGCGTCGTCTCTCGCCACGTCACGCCCTTGCTGCGTGCCGCCTCGCCAAGTCACGCGCCGAGGGTTACGCAACCCTCTCTCGAATGAGGTCAGATCCGGGTCTGACCATGCTTGCAACATACTGACCATCCGTATCTATATATTCGCTTGCTTTTACTTTGTCGCACGCTCATTGCTGTCTGGACGCTTGTTCTAAAACGTACTTGCTGTTGAATACGAAATAAAGCTGTAATACCTTTTGTACTTGAGGAGTTTATTGAATTACCAAACCCGGCAACAGGAATAAGAAAATCTCCTCACAATAAATTGTCTGAGTTGGTTAAGTTAAAGACTTGCGACGGTAAGTCATACAATCAAAGGTTTAGAGATGTTTAAGCTGAAAGATTGTACACCATCATTTTTAACTAATTTAGACAACAGATTTGGCGCAGTCGGATTTTCCTTTTTTGGCCCGGGTGAGTACACTTAGCAGTAAAGCAACGCCTGTTCAAAGAACAGAGCTCAAGTGAAAAGTTTGCGACTCAGAAGTGACTCAGAAGAGCAAAAATCCGAGAACAGTCCCAGTGACGTGTTCTTTTAGATTTGACCAAGTGCTCTAGGTAAATTCAAAGGTGCAGTGAATATTTCGCCAGCATGAATACGAGTGTTAGAGTATCGGCACTGGATATCTCGAAAGTTATGGACACGACGGAAGAACTAAATCGTCAGTTTATTAACTTACCCCCTAAAGAACAAGCTGAAGTGGCTAAACGCCGTCAGCGCGAGTGCAAAGAAGAAATAGCAAAATTAGAAGCTGAATTAACGAATGCTGCCAAACCTCCCTCTGCCGAAAGGCGAACAGCTGTAAACGCTCGCCTAGCGCTTTTGAAAGCCCCAGAAGGTCCTCTAGAAACTAGCAAAGCGATAATCGCTAGTCTGGAGACTAATCTGGAAGAAATAGACATGCATTCGAAAGCGATAGACGATACTCAACTTTTATTAATGTCGAGACAGCTAAAAGAGGAGATAAAGCAGAAAAAGCAGCAACTCGCAGACGCTCTGGGGATAAGACAAGCCCTATTTAATCAAGAGCTGTCAATTGACCAAGTTACAGACCCAACAGCCGACGAATTAATGTTCTACGACGTGGAAAAATCCAAAAAACTAAGAGGTCCTTCGCTGCCGATACAACAAGCTAGTATCGCGATGAGCCAGGTTCCTCCCTTCGACTGAGAAGGGAAGGACCTTTGGAGTGAATGGTGGATAAGGTTTCAAGGAGCCTTATATGATGGAGTGTACACCGATGAAGGTATTCGTTCTAATCTGATGAATAAATTAAAAGGGCAAGCATTNAATTGTTGCAAGAAGTTTATCAGCCCCTGTCGATGGGAAGTACCCAGTTTTATGTATGAACTTAAGAGACGAAGACGCTGAAGTCAGCCCGCGTTTGACACTCGCGATGGGAACTTGTGATTCGTGGTACGTTCCACCAGACCAAGATGATTACGGAAATTCGGTGAACAATCTCGTCTCGCGGGATAAAAAAGCGAGCCAAGAATTGATTCATGGGAAATTGGAGGAAAAGGATTTGAAACAACTTGTCGAGGAAAATATTAAGACCTCGGAATGTCCCCCTCACTTAATTCATAATTTGCGGAACCTTTTGTTTAAATACAAGAATGTTTTAGCTAAGAAATCAGATCATTTAGGTTTGTGTGAGTTATATGAGGCCAACATCCCCCTTGACACTACGAGTCCAATTTACACGCGACAGTATCCCCAGCCATTCGAAATGAGGAAATTGGCTACTAAATATACTGAAGACCTTTTGAACCAGGAAGTAGTACGCCCCTCTACCTCCCCTTACAACAGCCCTACGCTGATGGTAAGGAAGAAAGACAGAGGATGGAGAATGGTCGTCAATTTTAGACGGTTAAACAACCATGTTATCACGGATCCTCACCCTCTGCCAAGAATTAGTCAGATTTTTGAAGAATTGGGTAACTGTAAATACTTCACAGCCTTAGATTTACTCCATGGGTTTTACAATCTAAAGATTCGTGAAGAAGAGAGGCATAAAACAGCCTTCTCGACCCCAATGGGTCATTACAAGTTCATTCGATTGCCTATGGGATTAAAAAATAGTCCTTCCATATTTCAACGATTAATGCATCTAGTTTTAGATGGTTGTCTGGGAATCTACGCGTATATATATATCGATGATATCGTTATATATTCACGCAATGCAGACAAACATTTACAGCATTTAGATGACATTTTATACTTCATGGGTTTTACAATCTAAAGATTCGTGAAGAAGAGAGGCATAAAACAGCCTTCTCGACCCCAATGGGTCATTACGAGTTCATTCGATTGCCCATGGGATTAAAAAATAGTCCCTCCATATTCCAGCGATTAATGCATCTAGTTTTAGATGGTTGTCTGGGAATCTATGCATATATATATATCGATGATATCGTTATATATTCACGCAATGCAGACAAACATTTACAACATTTAGATGACATTTTTAAGAGATTAGATAAAGCAGGATTAAAAGTAAAATTCTCGAAATGTCAGTTATTCAGAACTCAAATAGAATACCTTGGATTTTTCATTAGTGAAGAAGGGATCCGTGTTAATCCGGTTAAAATCGAAGCTATCAAGAACTTCCCAACACCAAAAGATGTGAAGGGCATACAAGCCTTTTTGGGACTCGTCGGGTATTCTAGATCGTATATCCAAAACTTTGCCTTAAAAGCAAAACCCCAGTACATGTTGTTAAGAAAAGATACGCCATTTAAATGGACAAAAGAACAGCAAAATGCAGTGGAAATGTTGAAAGCCTGTTTAATGAAGGCACCAATTTTATCCTACCCTGATTTCAATCATGAGTTTATATTAACGACGGACGCCTCAGCAATTGCAATAGGCGCAGTCTTGACTCAGAAACCAGGTAAGAAAGAGATATTGATT